GTTCTAGAGTTGCCATAAGTGCCAGCGCAGGTATATAAGGGCGCCGCCACCGCGAGGTGAGTTAGTTACAAGTCAGCAAGCTACAAGTAAAGTAAGCAGAGAAGCGAGTTGCGAATAAGCAAGCTATAAGTTTAATTGTGTTACCAAGTTTAGTTAAGCGCTGTTATTGCTTTAACAAGTATTGTAGTGTTTTTACTGTATTAGCAAGTATTGTAAAATTGTTTGTTGTACAATAAAGTTAATTGTACTACCATTTGGTAATCGTTTGCCTTTATTTAACAATCCAGCGATACGAACCGGAAGATTTGGGAAATCCGGACGAGGGTTCAAGGATAATCGTAACAATGTGCTTTTTGGCTGCCTGCTATGTGACTTTATGATAGCGCCAACTAGTTTTTACTTCTAGAAATGTTCCTGGCGAACATTGAACGTTCACTTTCCTTTTTTCTTCTATGGAGGCAACATGAATTTCAATTTGTTTAGGTCGGTGTTATGCAGACAAATTTTTGTTTGCCAAATTAAATGGCGGCTGCTTAAGAGCGAAATACACCACACAAGCGGCTTGTCAAACATTCTTCAAACCTACTTGTCCCATTTCGCCATACACCATGCAAACATGACTCGTTCAAGCAAAGAATTTTAGTTTTCTTCCAGTTCGCAATGTTAAATATTATGGTTTTCTTTCATTTTCCTCTCTTACGTCCTTACTCGGTGAAAATTTCGTTGCGAATGAGGCGATTTTGCTATACACAACGCAAGCGGTTTGATCAAACATCAACATGGCGGCCAGAAAATCAAAAAATTTTGATTTTTGCTCAAATTTCCCTCAAGCGGTTTGTCAAACCTTCAAACACCCCCATACACAGCACAAATGGCTTGAAGCAAAGGGAAATTTCGCTTGGTTTGTCAAACCGCTTGTGTAGTGTATTTCGCTCTTTAACGAAAACTCACCACCGCATGGCGGTGACGTTGCCATTGCTTCTCTCTCTCTCTATCGACAGTAAATTTGATATGCTGCTACGTACGTCAACCTACGTTTACGCAACGTCGTTGACTAACTGTGTCTTTACCCACTTTGTTCAGTACGGGAATGATTTCTGGGCTATTTTGGGCACCCGCGTTGCGTACGGGAAAGAACCTAATAAGTGTTTATTCATGTGCGATTTTTTAATAGTACTTCATATTTAAGCTCTCGTCGGCGAATTTTCTTTCCCGAAAGTATTTATTAAGAAACAGAGCGACCTAATTTTTTCTAACTGTAATTTGAAATTGGCAATACCGTGCCATTTTAGTGTCAAATATCCCCAATAACAAACACTATCTGTCAACAACATATGTTTTATGAATACAGTTGCCGAACTTGGAATCTTTGCCCTTATCAGTGCTCTTGCACTTGAGATTGGAATTTTCTGGCACTATTTACTATAAGCAAAATCATTATCATCCTTCGTTAGCAAATGAGTGAAATTAAGGTAATGATTTCCAGCAGATATTTAACTATATTTTGACTAAGTATGAAACTTCTTTAATAAAAAGGTTGAATTCGCAGTGCAAATGCGTGGCGAGCTTTGCGCTGAGAAAGTTCGCAATGCGCTCAAAGATGCTGGTAAAGTGCATATTGATGCAACTGAGGGTCGAGTTACTGTGGAGACAAAAGAGCCTTGGTGCATTTTAAAGGAAAAAATCGAATGCACGGGTCGAAAAGCCGTGTTGGTCGGCTTTGGTGGACAGTCTGCTGTGGCGATTATAAATGCAACTGGCAGCGATGTAGATCGCACCCCAATACAGGGCATATTACGATTTAGTGCGCTGACCAAGGACCATCCCGGCGTAGTGGTAGACGGTGTTGTGGATGGCCTAACACCGGGCTTGCATGGACTGCATGTACACGAGGCAGGGGATATATCCAGCGGATGCGAATCGCTCGGCGAGCACTATAATCCACGTGGTTCACCTCATGGTGGACCAGATGATACACCTGATGCGCGACATGCTGGAGATTTGGGTAATATACGCGCCGATGATAGAGGACGAGCAACATTTCGTTTTGTAGATCCAGTATTGGCAGTATGGGATATCATAGGGCGTTCGGTGGCGATAACAGCTAACGCAGACGATTTGGGTAGAGGTGGTAATTCGCAGAGTCGTATAGATGGTAACGCAGGTGCACGGTAAGTACAATTTATAGATGTTTACTTTGGGAAGAGGTAACAACTCAAGCGTTTTGATTTTGACAGCATCGCCTGTGGTATAATTGCACGTTCGGCGGGAATTTTGGAGAATTTCAAAAAAATATGCGCATGTGACGGCGTAACACTATGGGATGAACGAAATAAGCCGATAGCTGGTGGTGATCGAGCGCAGAAGTTGTAATGTGGTTAGTGTTAACGTATTAATCCTAATTTCTAGCATAAGAATTACGCCAGGTGTTTGGATTTGTAATTATACTAATAAATCGCGGTGATTTTTAGGTCATAAAGAGTAAGCTATTGAGAAGTGTTTAATTGTATTTAAGATACCATTATTTATTCACTATCTTCGATTAGTATACTGTTATCATTTTCATTACCTTCTTTGTTCTTGGATTTTATTTTGGCCAACTGCATTTTGCATTTACTCTTATAGCTTTGCACAAGTTTGCCGCAATGTAATGGCGGTGATATCGAGTAGGTGGCATGAATCTAAAAGTAAGTCTGTGTTTTTAATACTAATGAATAGATAAACATAAGCACTTAAAAAACACCTCTATATAATCCTCAGCAGTTTCATAAGGTATGCATTGCTGTAGAAGATCAATTATGGCTTGAAATTCCTCCACTTTAAAAATGAATTTCATATCACTAATATTTTGTTTGTACCAGTCAGCGTAAGCGGTGATATTCTTATCAATGTCCATTGTTGTGGCAGTAGCAGCGCGAATGGATAATAACAAATGTAACATGGCCTCACGCGAAGGAGTTGCAGCTATTTGTACCAGCCTTGCTTTGAAGTATTCTAAAAAGGAACAGAGTGGCTTGCACATACAATGATTCAAATTATGATTGGCAAACTAACTTTTAATGACCAATGTGCACTCCTGAGCGCATTTGCAGGCAATTGTTTGTAGTAAAATTAAATAAAACTTCCATTCCTTAAAGCTTTCTGCGGTAGATAGTTTAAAAAGGTAGGAAATCGCTTCCGGTTGTGAATGTTGAAGTAACTAAAGTTGATGAATACAATATTAGTATGCAACTGCACCAATGAGAATCTTACTTTACTGTAAATTTCCTTTGTAAATTCAATTTCATCTACGCCTTCATTTATCCAGATTGCAAAGTTAGCAAAAGCTGACTTAGTATTGCTCTTATGCAGGTCTAACACAATGCGTATATGCCTCTGCATTAAACCCACTATAAAATCAGCTTTGCAAAGTAAGGAAAAATCATTGTATTTACAACTAAATTTTTATATGTTTTGAACTCCCACCTGGCATATGCTTTGTAACAGTTTGAAGGTATTTGAGATCGTTTAATTTAGGATTTTGCAGTAAATCAGCATAGAGATTGCCAAGACATTCATCTATAATATCATTTAGTCGTATACCATTGCTACTATCTGAAAAATTATAAAAAATAAAATGTAATAAAATTTAATTGAATAGCTACATATGTATATAATACATAATACCATAATGTGCGGCGATAAATAATTCTTGGATCAATTCAAATTCAGCTTCAAGAAAATCATTTAGAATCAACTGTAACCCCGCATTGTTCTCTTGACTGCAAAGGGGTTTTAAAAAGGAAATTATTTTCAATTTTCTTTGTTTCTGTTTTGACTTTGATTACCTGAGTATATAATTGCTGGCAGTGAGGACGTGGGCTGTTTGTAGCACCGCTAAAACACGTAGGCTACCAATATTCCATGACAGTTTGCAGAAGTTTCGTGCAATAAGAAGCTGAAGTCAGTCCGAACTTTAGTGAAATACACAGTAGCAAATTTGTATTTGTATACCTGCTCAATGGAACTTAAGTTCCGCAGTAACGTTTTCAATTCATAACGATCATAAAGTATGGGATCGCTGCATCTATCTTCTATGGCCTGCAAATTTTGTAAATCATGATTAATTGTTGCAAGTGCAAAATAATTGGATGCTTCATGGTTTATAAAGACTATTAGTAGTTAATACGGTGTCTATATGAGGCGAATAGTTGAATCACAAGTTGACTGCCCCCCAACTTCGTTCGTAACGATTAATTGAAAGGGCGTTTCCAACTGGTTTTCAACTGTAAGTTGTCTGTAAAATCGCCTCAAGTAAAAATTCTATAAAATTCCACAACCGGATATAATTCGTACTTTCCGTTGACGAAGGCGCCCCATTTCCTTTTCTTTTTTTAATAAACAGGTATGGAGATACTACATACATTATTACCAATCAGAAATTTACCTGAAATACAACCTTCAAGCTTTCGCTTATTTCGTAAACCATTTCACAGTTTTACAAAAAAAAAAAAATAGCTTTTATCTTATTACTAATTTGATTTTGATTCGCGCCAAATTAAACAGCTGATTCCTACCTAGCTTTGTTCCTTCACATCTAAATTGCCATAGAGATGTATAAGCTGTGTTAATTTTTGTTTTTGTCGTTAGTGGTTATTTGGTATTCTTTCAATTAATATAATATATAATTCAGAATCTTGGCTACTCGATCCTCGTACCTGCTCGAGAGTTCACTGTTCGCAAATCCCTTATTTGTGTAAGTAGTGGGATTCATTTCCTGCACACGAACGCTCTAGCCTTGAAAGTAAAAAGTTATCAACGAGGTACCTTCTGGCGGTAGTGAAGAAAGGCCTGCTAGATTTTGCTTTATAACACTTTGTTGTTGTTGTATCTGCTTACCTAGCCCTGCCTATATCGGCATGCCCCTCAATCGTTGTTGCCAATCTCAACTAACGGGAGGCCCAGGAAGCGTGCCACTCCGACTGGGTTGGACCAGGGGGACAGCGGCGTTAATTGAGCTGGGTTTTGGGAGTATGCGAAGATGTAGTGCAAGTCGTGAGATGACTCTCCGTATGCCAATCCCTCATTGGGCAGATCTGCATTTATCCTACTCAGGTAGGAGTTTAGTATGCAGCAGTATCCAGAGCGAAGTTAGGCTAAGGTAGTGCGAGTCTCACGAGGCAGACAAAGTTTTGTGTCGTCCACGTCTGGTGGCTGTGTTCCCAAAACGGCATTCAAACATCCGGAGTTGGTTTAAGTCGAGACCGACTCCCAGCGAATGCCCTTTATTACTTGTCTGTAATCTGTCGGGTCCTGAAGATATTTTATGAACCTCTGGACTTCGTCGTTAAGTTCGTTAAGATGCCTTGTGACATGTCTAGGCGAAGGCTCTGTACCAAGAAGGAGTTTGTTCGGATGCCTACGTCTGTGGCAATGAGCTAGGAACTTCTTACATATATTCGTTGACGGGGAGATTTTGGGCCACGTCATGTAGGTAGTGAAAAAGCGTGAAAGATCGGAGAGGTAACCGTTTATTTTCAAGCACAAATCATCAATTCCACTCCCGGACACCATTAACGAGCAGTCGTCAGCATAAGAGATAATGGAGACAATGGAGACTCACTCTGGTGTCTGGGGAGCTTTGAAATATAATAATAAATACATAAAATAACCACCGTCTGCGGCCCATGTTTAATTTTTCTTGCTTTGCAGGCTTTCTCTCTGAAAATTATTCGTCAGTAATACTCACTCAGATATTTCGCTGACAACCGTTTGAGTACGTGGGGGAGAGGGGTAGTCTCAATGTCTTTTAGCAGCGTGGAGTGGTTGACGGTGTCAAATACCTTTGACAGATCCAATGCTATTAGAAATGTTCTCTCACAGGGGCGGTTTCGGTTTCGGCTAAGTGTTATCTTAGTGTTTATGGCGTCAAGTGCTATTTCTGTGCCGTGCACATTACTTAACCCATGCTGATGCCTCGCTGAGGTTAGGTGGTACGTAGCGGTGCGGGAGTAGTAAGGCCTCAAATATCCTCACTACCGGGGAAAGTTGGGTTATCCGACGATAAGACTGTTCTTTGTCGTCCGGTTTCCACAGATTATGCATTGGGACCACCCTCACAGTCGCTTTAGCTGGAAAGTTCGGACGGGTTTCCGGGATGCATCCAACAGTAAGGAAGCGGGCTGCAGCAGCTGTATGGGAAAGGCTAGCGAAGATGCTTTCAATAACTTCCGCAAAACCGTTCCAATCAGCTTTTCTAAAGTTGATATATGTATTTAGATTCGGTGTTCCGAGGAAGCAAAATCAGCAGGTTTCGATCGAGAGGATTATGGGCAGATGGTCTGATGCCACCGTCAGAATAGGTCGCCACATTATGCTGGTTATCTGACCAGCGCTTACTACTGTTATATCGGGCGAACCGATACCGCTGTCCATAGTCCATAATCTTGGTAGGTTTTACAATAAAGTGTAGATCCTTAACTACAAGTGTATGCACAATTTTTAGGTATGGGCCACCCATTCGGACACCATAGCCTGAAATCATTGGGCAAATAACTAAACCGTACCCAGTTAAATCGTTATTTGGTTTTCCTCAATCAACAATTGCACCAAGATGACGACATCACGCAAACAGCTGATTCTGTCAAATTCACAAAGAGCGGATTAGCTATACCGCGATGAGCGCAATCTCTATTTCTCTCAATCGTGATTCTAGCTATCTATTTTTTATGAAGTGGGTATGTGTGTACATATACATACAGCCATATGTATTTAACGATACTGAAAGTGCAAAAGAGGAAGAAAAAGTAAATCACAGATAACTCAGCTGCCGATAAGCCCGATCGCAAAACATAGCACACATACATACGCAAATATGTACATACACACCCTGCAGTGTAAATGAGGGACAGTCTCGCAAGGCACTAGTTCAGCACTACAAATTTCAGAACTATTCAGGGCTATCACGGAATCCATCGTAGAAAATCTACGAATTCGAATGCCTGCTGCGAATACGAAAAAATGTCTATCACTGGATCCGAATGAACTCGACAATATCGTTGTCAGTTCCGAATGCTGATTCGAAATCAGCGAGTGCAAAGTAAACAATCGACATTTTGCTTACGCTGCCCAGGCAGTGGCAATGGCCGAGGGAGCAAACCACTAGACTACCGTTTAAGAGGTCCGAATTCGGGTCCGAGTGATTTGGTTATAGTTACATCATTTGGTTATAGATACCAAACTATATAACGAAGGAAATATATTTGGATGACTTTTCTCTGAGTGTATAGAAAAACGGATGCAGCGGGGGCTTGCTTACTTTAAATAGTTATTTGTTTGGCGTTTTGTTCGTTCAAATGCGAATCCATTCAGCACTTCACATATGGTTTTTCATAGCTTCGTAATGCAAAACAACAACTTGGGACCTTCTGGAATCGAACAAATAACAGCAAGCGCCTCTGCACACTCAGCTACTGCCAAAGGTATATAAACTTGTTTTCAAATTATCAGTTTGAATTAAGCTGCCTTTACACGGGTCTACTGGAAAATCGTCTGAGAAATCAACCAGCCAAAAAAAAAAATACATTTACACATCGTAGGACATCGCAATATTAAATTCGCCAATTGCTAGCGCACTAGTCATGGCTCTAAATTCTCAAGTACGGAACCAGTTCGGCACTAGTGCGTTTCCCCACAGGATGTGTTGATCATAACATAGCTCAGTGTGCGGCATATTGCTTGGTTTGACTAAACCCTTTTTCTCATCGGTTTGTGTAGGTAGTTGTCTATGGCAACCTAAATATCAGAAGCGGTCCCTTTCAGAAAATTGATTACCGAACTCGGAACTTACCACGCACTCTATCCAAGATCGACACATGAAAATATCGCGCAATACTTCATGCAAAAAAAGTCTGCGGCGCATCTCGGCCTATATATCTGTTATCAGCAATACTGTGGCATAAAATACTTAAACAATAGAATGCTCCTTGTTGATTTTGCTTTTTATTCAACTTGAATTATAAATAACTTCACTCGCCTGTGAGCTGTAGAGAATAACGGGCATTTTATATGAAATGCCGCTAAACAGAAATAGAGCGCGAGTAATTGGTAGAGGTGTTCTTTAGACTATTTAATACAAAAATTTGGTTAATGTTTTTATAAATAAATAAATAACGAGAAATGAACAACTTTAAAATACTAAATAAAAAATTATAATAACTAAATTAAAGCGGGAAAGTGATATAAACAAATTACAAAATATATTTATCTTATCAAAAATTAATTGTTCATGCCGAATACTGGTACAATTTTATCACAATCGAGTGTCCAATTTGGTGACCAGAAAAAATTCGAACATTACAATGAACGCGTGAATATATCTACTATACGATTTAAAAACGAATATAAACGCGGTAAAAATAACTTTGAATAACCACTGAAGCGTTATAAATATTACAACATTTTTAACGTAAAAATAAATTTGAATAATCACTGAAGCGTTATAAATATTACAACATTTTTAACGTAAATTATGGATATTATATTGTGACTAAAAATGGTTATCAAAAGATAAGAGCAATGACACTCTTTGTTTCAATATTTCTGCTTATCAATACTAGAGTTTGCACAAACTGTCAACCTTTTTGAGGAGCAAATATGGAAGATCTTAGTATTTGCATAATATCATTGGTGATAATAGTGTTCGCATTATTTATTATTCGTGTAAGTGTATAAAAATAGAATGTAAAATTCACGATTAAAATGTTAGCACAGATGTATTGTATGTGCATATGTAATAACAACACGTTTTTTTCGCTTGCAGATAATCACCTTATCAATACGAAATTCAATAATATTACAACAACTGAAGCAAGAGGGTGAGTGACTTATGCCTGGCACCGTACCTTAAAGTGTGTTTCAGTGCATAATAATGATTTGTTATGAAATATACAGATTTATGTATATGAAAGGACCTCGAAAAAAATTCTCAAATTCAGATATCTTTTGCAAATAAAGCAGTACTAGCAGACCCGGCGAACTTCGTCCCGCCCAAGACCTTTTTTTTTATATGCCGAACCCTAACCGCCAAAATAACGTAAGCGACATTTTTTCCAAAATTTTTCAATTGAAACGGGGCCGGCTGAAAAAATTTAACAAATTTTTGCAAAATGCAAATATGATAAAATATGCAATAAAAGACAATTAAATAGCACTAAAGAGGAATTTTGTGATTTTCTTCAATAAGAAAAAAAAAATTATGTTCAAAGGCGAATTCATATAAGGTGATATCGATTCTACAAATACAAAAATTACTTGTATTTTGTTTTTGCCTTTAGCTGACGATTGTCAAATTTTAGCTATTCTTCCCCGAAGGAAAAAGGGTGACAGAAAATACAACCACTCTCACGTTTTCACTCACTAGTGAAATTCAAAATTTTGACAATCACACGCTATTCACAGCTGATGAAGTGATTCAGTTATAGCTTTGAAAGGTAGTCGATTTTAAAAGAAAATATTGACTGCTCATTACACAGTATGTCCCAAACTCGTTGATCTGCTAGAGTCGGTTGTGTAAAACGGCAGCTCGTCTTCCGAATTTTAAGAGGTTCATTAAAACTATTAATAATTTAATCTTACAGCCGATACAAGACCATGAAATCGTTTGAATGTATTTTAATGGCTTCTATCTGGCTTGCGATTGATGTGGAAGCTGTCAACATAAAGTCCGTATTTGAAGATCTTAAATATTTGAGAAATCAGTGCAGAATAAACGCAGGAATTCAAAACGGTAGCTGGAAATATTGGTTCCGCATATATGTTCCAGGACAAATGGCGTAGAACAAGAAAACTTAGTGACAAATTACTTCAAGAATCCATGGATTCGAATTCTGAGGCGAGGTCTTCTGCGTTCCGCTTGGACTTATTGAAAACATGACGATACGATTTGATGCTTTCAAGAAACTTGAATCAAAAATCTTTCTTTTCTTTGGAAATAAATTGAGCTAAGTAAATAATTTCGGTAAAAGCAAACAGTATCCTTCTGTGAAACTAACGATAACAAAAAAAATTAAGATGAAAAATATTGCGAATATTTAAAAAATTTCAGCACGCGGTCACTTGTTTGAGGCACTGTATATGCATGCACATTAGGGTGGTCCAAAAATGAATGTGGTGAAAGTAAAGTCGGAATTTTACCGCCCTATTCCCACAACACTGACAAAACTCATGGGCTGACTATTGCCTTTACTACTGCGCCTAATACTATGCCGCAAATTTATTTTAAACTCTCGTATGGTGACAATTGTCAATGTTGTTGTTATGACCTTCTGAGTACGCGACAACGGCGAAACAACCTCAATGTTTATACATATTGTGTTTAAGGTGCAACAATTGTGACAGTAGTCATACGATGAATTTTGTCAGTGTTGTGGGAATAGGGCGGTTAATGCTCTAACCCGCTAGGATTGTTCTAAATCGAAAAAAATTGTACCCGTTTCATTATTTTTAAATGAAAAAATATTTAGAGGTCGCTCAAAGCGTTCACAGTTTTCTATGAATTTTATATAGCAAAATGCATTTTTGTGGAAACGGTATAGAATTCTTGAAAATTATCGCTTTGGGCGGCCTCTAAATATTTTTAGATTTTAAAATAAAAAACAGGGGTACATTTTTTCGGTATAGAACAATCCTAGGGAGTGAGAGCATTAAAATTCTGACTCTACTAATTTTAGATCACCATACTGAACACACATATGTACATATGTATGTATGGACGCATGTTCATGAATTTGTTAATTTGTCTTAGAATTTATCGCTAAACAAATCACAGCTACAAAAACAAAATGGTCGTCGAATATTAGCCGGGTCTTAATAAATATCCAAAAGTTGACTCACTGTTAAGTAGAAAATAATTTAAATGTACATATGTACATTAGAGTGGTCCAAAAACTGTAAAGTCGAAATTTTAATGCCGCCAACCCTTAGGATTGTTCTATATAAAAAATATACTTCTTTTTTTAATTTAAAATCAAACAAGTAAGAAAGTCTAAGTTCGGGCGGTGCCGAACATTAAATACCCGGCGCAAGTATTAAATATATGTTTTTTCACCTTTCCGAAACCTTGCGCTAGATGGTAAGCCGGGGTGTATCAATTTTGAGTAAATTAGCGTCCTTCAATTTCGAAATATTGAAGTTTCAAGCATTTCTGAAATTTAAAGTTCAATATTTACTGATTTATCNCAAAGTTTTCGTATAAATGGTATAGAATTCTTGAAAATCAATATTTTCAATCGAAAAACTCTTGTTTAATTTGGCCGCTTCCTAAATATTTTTTGATTTCAAAATAAAAAATAGGAGTATCTTCCTTTTCGGTATAGAAAAATCTTAGGGGGTGGCGGCATTAAAATTCCTACTTTACCTTTTCCGCATACATTTTTTGACCACCCTAATATACATACATACATATCTACGTACAAGCGGTGACCATTTGGAATGAATAGTCAAAAATAACAGTCGCAAAATTAACATGTAACGAACGGATGACAAAAAGTAGTCGCTACAAAGGAGTAAAATGTTTTAAATAGTTTTTCTTTGAGTTTGCATACGAAAACGAACCAAACGATTACGAACAGTCAAAACGAATTTCACAAAAATCGCAATGTACGAAAATTTCAATACCGTTACGCCTATGAATGGCTTGGTAAATTATACAACGATCAGCGCTGTACAAACACCAACAACCACACAATCAAATTCCGTATTCCACTGTTGCAATTGGTTTGGACTCTATAACTATTTGGTGGTACTTTTTGTTCTCCTTACCGGGCTGTGCATATTACTTGGGAAGGTGAAGTGACAGAAATTCAAATTATCTATAGCGTGTTTATATTAATAAAATATAAATCTCTTCATAATATTTAATTGAAGGTAATCATTAAAGCTCGACGCCGAAAATATCGACTTCTGCAACCAGGTAAATGTTAACTCTTACACTTCAAGAATTTGAATTAGTCAATTTACGCGCTAAATATACTACATATAACCCTCGAGTTCAATTTAGAGGTGAAGAGCCAGGTCCAGCAAAAATTTGAAAACGTTGAGGTTGTTCACGCTTGCCTGGTTATCAGGTTATGTGCAAGAATAATAGAATACAAGATTGCGTCTATCAGAGAGGATTTTTGAGAATAAAGAGCGAAATACACCACACAAGCGGTTTGACAAACCAAGCGAANGCGACGTCACACTGGTGCAATTGCGAGAGAAATGCCAAAACGTAAGCAAGAATGGAAGAAGAAAAAATGTTGCAAGGAAAACGTAAACAAGTTGCACAAGTGTGACGTCATACAAACAACGATTCTGTCAAATTCACTGAGAGGAGTAGCGGTACCGTGATTGGCGCAACCTCTATTTCTCTCAATCGTGGGTTATGTGGTTATATTTTTTACTCAGTTTACATTAATAAAATACACTATACAGGGCGTGTGTGAATCGGTAACAAAGTTCTATGGGGAAAGCTCTTGAATAATATTTTTACTATGGTGGAACAGTTTTGCCAATTTGAAATGAAATCTTTTTTGACAGCAGTAAATTTTTGATAACCGTAGATTTATGCGGAATAAAATATTACAAATTGAAGTGAAGTTAATATTTTAAGAAAACATCTACCATCGTTGATTGCAATTCATCAATTTAAGCTTTTATTTAACGAAAAGCTGCACACTTCAACAATCTTTGCGATTGTCAAAATTTTCTATGCTTTTGTCAAAAATTTCACTAGCCTCATGAGCTACTGAAATTTTATTCACCTCATAGTTGTCAAAAATTTACTCGCCGCGAACTTTGTTTACTGATTCAAACACGCTCACAATAATAATTTTTAACCAGATAACCAGGTAAGTGTGTACAACCTCTTTTGAAAAGTTAACACGTAAATTAAAATTTTAGTGAAATGAAGCCATATATTAAATTTTTTAAATACTGTCTACAGTGATCTACAGTGATGTAGCGCTGCCAAGTCCTTCGACACTGATTTTTTTTATGTTTTCTTCTCTTTTGTAATTTAATTTTTTTTACATAATCTTTAGATTTTAATGTTTAAAAAAAAGGAACGAATGGTATATTCGAAGTCAGCAACCAATATATAAATGAAATAAAAATATATAGATGTCGTGCTTGCTTTTTTTTGCTACCGACCAGTGCAATCCAATTGGTAATCTCAAATATTTATAAAAAAATCATTTTGTCACTAGCCTTAAATAAACAAAAAATTATAAATCAGAAAAATAAAATGGTATTGTGTTATTAAATCAAAAGTAAAAAATAATACTTCATTGAATAACTGTCGGACCTATCCACATCCCCCTTGCCACGCCACTGCATGTTACGAACAAACTAAATACTCCTTTAAAAAACTACAGAAACCCAAACTTTCTTTGTCTATCTTAATGCATATGCACGCCCAAGAATAATAGGGGTATTCTCTAAGTCTTGAAAAACCCTTGAACGTTGCACGGTAGAACTGGCTTTCCTATGGGAAAACTTTCCAAACTGTGCAGGGGTTATACGGGAATTCGAGAATACCCCTATTATATATAAGCATAGGAAATATTCATATTTTACACATAATTACTTACCTTATCAGCTCATTTGTCAATGTTTCATCGAAGAAAATCCTATAAGTTAGATAAAATTTGCGCACCTTTACCGCCTTTATTGGCAAAAGGCAAGTATTGGCTTAACGGTAAAAACAAATGAACATACATACACACACACACAGATACACGTATATACACAAAACCAGTATGTAATCTTTTCTAAAAATATTTGCGCAAATACATACGTACGTACATATGAACAAACAAAGCCAAGAATTAAAGTCGAAAACATATATACATACATACATATGTGCATACTACATAGAAAATCAAAAGTTGCCCTACAATTTCGGATAAACTTAATTTTTAGTTGAAAAATATCTTTGCCGCGTAACGCTTCGTATCCTTAAAATGTCGGTCATGTTTGCTAGCATTACAACGGTCGGTACAACCGTCGGGACGACTATAACCTCATATTTACGAAACAGTACATCAACGGTATATTCTGCCGGTAATAAAAGTATCGCGATTACTACCGCTCTAACAACGTCCAGTAGCGATAATGTAACAGAAACTCCGTGGCTATCCACAACGGTTGAACCAGCAGCTTCGGGTACTGTTATCATCACTGATGATTATTGGTACTGGGGCAGTTTGTATTACTTCTACATTATTTTATTGCTATTCTTGTGCTTCGGCTTGATTTTGGTACGTATGTATGCAAGAGAATCGTGTTGCAGCGTTACTGCTGTTCAAATAAAAATTAATTTTTATTTTCTTCCGCATGTCTCTGTTACAATAAAAAGGCCGGTATTACACGCAATAAACGTTCAGCAGAGGCACAGAGAGGTAATGATAATATATGTACATACATATTTATATCGTACCTTTACTACAAGAGCGTCAAAGAATTAAAAATTTGAGAATAACGGAATTAAAGTTTACAGCCCCGTGATAAAAAATGAAGACACATTTTCTTCTAAGGAGCTATTATTACTCGGTGCGCATGTGTATTTCAGCATAAACTAGAATAACTTTTTTTTGATTACATATTACACTCTTGCAGTAATGGTACGATATATCGCTAACTTAAAGTGAAAAGTTGCTAAGTCCACTTTTTTTGAAAAGTCATATTTTGAAATAGAAAGCATGAGAAATTAAAAATGCGTTGTTTCGAAAAGGGTTAAGCTACTTTCGAAAAGAATTAAGGTACTTTTATTTTATTATTTCTCGTTTATATTCAATGAAAGGTAAATTTGCCAAGTCCAAAGGAAACACCAAAAAACCGACGAGGCCAAAATAATACGAAATCTTTTAATAAAGACCGAATCTTTCTGATTCGTATGGAATTGGCATTTGCTTTAAATACGCAAAATTGTGTATTCAAAGTTTTGCGAAATACTTGAAGTGGCTAAATGAAGTTTTCCAAAAAAAAGGGAACCTTTACTTCAAGTGCCCTAAGCCTTGCCTTATTCATGTCTAATCCTTACTACTCAATTGGTAAGGCTTTCGACTTACTTTAGTAAGGATTAGAGATATGATTTACTTAGGTATAGTTTTTTTTTTTTGAGTTGCGAGTTGTATCGTTATTGTAGAGGACCATCTATATGCACAACACAGAAAAGAAAATCTACTTAAATACCGCGCTTTGATAAGTGAATCGGCATTTTTAACAATAATAAAGTCAAGTCTAGAGCGAATCGTTTATTTATTTATTTTCTAATTTTTGTAAATAATTGATTATTTTTAACGCGAAATATCTTCAGTCACGGTAGTAGGTAAAAGGAATTTCATTTTACTGCAGAACAATTTAAAATCGTACGAGTCCTATTTTTTTACTATATACAATGTATATATCCCAAGCGTGCTGAGCGGTTTCGATTTTGGTATCGAAATTTTTTATAGATTTTGTTATCGAAATTTTGAAATTAAAATTTTTTTTTGGAAAATTTGAAATTGATATTTTTTTGATTTTGTTATCGATTTTGTTATCGATACTTTGATCGATTTTGCTATCGATGTTATGATCGAATTTGTTATCGATATTGTATCGATATTTTTACCGAATTTGTTATGGAAATAGTTATTGATATTTTTATCGGTTTTGTTATCGATATTTTGATGGATGCTACTATCGACTTTGTTATCGATAGAGTAAAAAGATACAAATAAAGATAAAGGAAAACAGAATAACATAAATGTAGTTAGAACGAACAGGATAGAGGTAGGGGTCTAGATAGAAAAAATACAAAAAATATAACCTTAAGCAAAAGCAAAAATTTATAGAAATCATAGTTTTCGAATTTCTTTTCCCATTTTTTGTCTGCTTCCAAGATAGTCGAAAAGTAGCTTGTTTTCACTGCTCAGCGCGCTTGGGACATTTGACGTGAATTGCCCCATATACAGCCATGTGAAAATTAATAAGGACACAATTTTGCCAGATTTGGCTATTTTTCTATTGTTTGTTTAATGTTGCTCATCTGGAAGGCCTTCTATGGGTAGCGAAAGAAGAAGTCCTTCAATTTGTGCCACTCCATACAAAAAAGAAAGGAGAAAGCACTGTAGAGTGGAAGGCCTCTTGACTCTCAGGAAGGCCTTTCGAAAGGGCTTTTAAGTCCTGAAATTATCTACTGGGGTAATCTGAAAAATGCCCTGTCTGCAATCGGGATGTACAACTGGCGCCACCTCGCAAACCACAAAGGCCATTGGCGTAGTTTTTTGGTCTCGGCCCAAACAGATGAACGGTTGTAGAACCAAACAATTGTCCAAAACTGGTGTGAAGTTCCCCTCTTATGTTTAGTTATCTAATACATTTTTGTTAGTCACTTTCACTGAGTTTTTTATTTCGCCTTATATTTTAACTTACAACAAGTATTTTGTGCGCTGCAGCTCACTTATCCGCTAGTTGAGAGAAGTGTTACATTAAAAAAGGTGGATGTACATAGTAGCATAAATAGTTTAGCAACTTATCTACATACATACACTACATACACATATGCCAACCATAAACTATATATATTTGTATGAAAATTCAAATTCCTTAAGGCACATTTAATTCTATAACAGCTGCTTTAACGCTGCGAAAAAGCCAAAATTAATGCAGCCCAAGTACACATAGTAGATGTTCAATTTGAATATTTCCCACTTCTCACGCACCAACAGTTTCAACGCATTCCAACGCGTTGAGTCCAGTGATTTTTGTTCACTAATAGTCGAATGAACACAACATTTGGACATAACCCAGAAGGCGGTCATGCGATTTTGTGTACGTAGCGTAGCTTCAATGCCGCGAATCAGGTCGTTGGTTTTAAGTATGAGCAGCATTTGGCGATCAACTTGCTCTAACACATCGGCGATGTGTGGCAATACAAGTGAGGTGTTGTCTTGCAGCGTTTCTTTCTGTGTGGAAGAAATATGCAGTGATTTGTTGTTGTATCTCAAAAGAAAAGTGAATGCAATTTAATTTCTACTCACCTCTTCTTTGGTGTACTTCACTTTGTTGATGCCTTGAATTAGTGTCTCCCACGGTCGCCCCGTAACCATGCAAGCAAATAATCCATATAAATCACCTTTGATACCCAAATTCTGACTATGCACACGCATAGCCTGTCGATCGACGTTCAATATGCTGAGCCAGAGCTTTGAGTATTCATAACGGAATTTGTCAGTTAGATTCGCATAGAGACCATGATCTAATAATATGATTTCTACTTGTCCCTTTGGACTTTTATGTACAAGTATGTTACCAGGATGAGGATCACTGTGCACGAAACCCGTTGTGAAAATCATTTCCGAATACAATTGTCCAATCTTATTCGACACGGTAAATGGATCGATTTTATGCTGCTTAATATAGTCGAGATCGTTGACCTGGCCACCTTCCAAGTACTCCATGACTAGTACACGCGGTGAGCTGAGTTCCCAGTAAATTTTCGGCACACGTAGCCATGAGTATTTTTGAAATTGCTTCGCTACTTTCTCTGCATTTTTGCCCTCATTCAGAAAATCCAGTTCCACAGGTAAATTCTTTTTGCACTCATCGACTAGCCATTGTATTTTGAAGTCGGGGAAAACGCGTGACATCAATTTCACTAGTACTTCCATAGTCTTCATATCGACGCGGGAGTTTCCCTTCACATAGGGATGTTGTACTTTAACAGCGACCACCTCGCCCGTTTTTAGTGTTGCCTTATGCACTTGCGCTAGCGATGCAGTTCCAAGTGGATTTGGCTCAAAGGTCTCAAATATATCCTCAGGATTTTGTTTTAAATCTTGTCGTATGACTTTGTATAAATCCTCGACAGGATTTTGTGGTGCATTCGAGTGTAGTATTTTCATTGTTTGTACAAATTCTTTGGGTAGTAAATACTCCAATGCACCAATATGTTGGCCAGTTTTTATGTAAACACCCTTATTGACGCAAATCAGTTCTAGTAACTTTTGGGCGGCAATTTTGTGTACACGACTCTTTTCCGCTTTATACTCGGGCGTGGTTTTGTCCCACTCACGATAGAACAGTTCGCGTTTGTAAGTGAGTGCCACATCGAAAACAGTGATTGCCGAACGGCCGAGACGCACAATACCCAAGGAGTTGACATCGTAATCGTTTGTGTGTAGACTAAGGCCGGTGCTAACGACGCCAGCGCCAATGATGCTGTACGAAAGGACACGACGAAACATTTATGGCACACTTTTGTTGCTCGATGTGTTTACTTGCAAGGCAGCACAGCGATGTATGGATGTAGCTGCAAATTTAAGGAAAACTGAATTAATGTGATGAATTTCATAAGTATGTATGTATGTACATTAGGGTGGTCCTTAAATGTAGAAAGCAAATTTTTACATCACATTTCTTAATAATTTAACTTAAAATTTTTTTAATCTCCATAGAGGAATCTGAACTTTGGACCCTGCGCGACACGCATTAACCGTCTCCAACCGGGACTAAAATTTGTTTTTATACAAAATTTAAGAACTCCTTTACGACGCTATCTACAAAAAAAAACCCAAGATTTTAGACCCAAGGTTTCTTCGACAAATTTGCTAAGAATTACACGTAAAATCCTTCGGTGCTATACACGCGTAGTCGAAAAATTCTCCCATACATAGACCCGCCCTAATGTATGTGTGATGTTACATTTGTATATACATAGATTGCTGGTAGAGATGCGTGGGCATAAATTAGAATTTGCGGTGCACTCAGGTGAAAATTTTCCAGCTTGTCAATAATGATCGCCAAGCGTTATTTTTTGACCTTCTGAAATAAATTCTATAAATAACAAAGCTGGTGAAGTCAGTCTATTGGGCACAATGCTGCAAATGACTATACCCAGTAGAACTTGAGAGCATCCTACGATTGCCTTTAAAAAGAATTGGGAAAAAATTACATTACTAGCATGTAAATAATTCCAATTACAATATGCAGGCCCTTGCAATAGAATGAAAAAAATTACATTTGAAATTACTGCAAAGGAGTTAAAACAGTAATCGATTCCTTTGCTGTGGACTGAAGGAATTGATTTCTAATTACAATTACTGGGGAGCATAATTGGAATTGCTCTACCATGAATTCATGTTTATAATTCGCTGGACTATTGTGGCGAGGATGCTATGCCTGTCTGTAGATGATTCGTTTAAGAAAAATCTTTTTGCTCGTGCCCATTGAAACAGACATTAGCACTTTAAGGCATTTACCAGTTCCAAGATATTCAGCCTCATTGCGAGAGTCGTGCCGAATGCAAGTCGTTTTTCGAGAGTCGCTTCGTATCGAAAATTTAGCGTCATTGCCTAAAATTTCCACTCGACTAGTGTATTAAAACGGAAGAACTTGGCAGCACTGCATAGTTTTCGACAATTTTCGTCGTTTACTTATTTCAGCACGACAGTAGACAATGCTAATGTTGTCGAGTCGTACAATTCAATTTACGACTTACGCAATGAAGGCTGATTTTCATTTAAGTTTGCATTGCGAATGAAAAAAATTCCAACTTAAAAATGGAAAATGTTACTCATACGCCGTGTACGAGTATTAACGATACGCCTATGTACGTTATAGCGTGTGAGTAACCACTTTTCCTGCTCCTATTTCATACAAAAACAAAGTATCAATTTACAGGGTGAAATATTAAATCTTGAGTGCAGTTCAGAGTCTGAGTATTTTTTCACATACCAATTTAAATAATTCTCATTATAAACCAGGTACCGAGAACGCGTTCCGGGTATGGTTTAGTTCTGCATAAGAACAAAATGTAATGTCAAGAACGTTTCCAGAAAAGAACCAAACGGGAAAAAAGTATTGAGAGCAGTTTGAACGTTCTGCTATAGAACAAAACGAGAACGTTAAGAATGAGAGGAGCGTCTACGTGTTGGGATGAAAAATCGTTTCAGTGAGAACCATGATGGTTAATTCTAAGTCAGAGGAAAGTTGGGATCATTTCAACTTCCAGATCATTTATCATTAGGGTGAACTGTCCATTTATGAAAACAATTTTTAGGTTTCTGTGCAAGTAAAGTTCGTTTCTAAAGTCTTTCGTTGACTTGAACTAGTAAATACAGTGTCTAACGTTAGAGAAATATTTTGATTTTACATTAGAATTCTAATGGAGTTCGCGATTTGAAAATCAGTTTAGACAACTATGTTAAAACTCCAAAATACAAATGTGCTAATGTACAAATCGTGTGATCCCTGCTTTAAAATACGATTAGATATTTCACCTTTTTCTCGATAACGTGAGCTAAGTCCTTTTTGTAGAGAATGCTAAATATAATTTTCGACAGTTTCTCTAAACATCTTCTAACCTTCTACCTTACAGAAACACAATACAATTCGAATCGTTCTCTTAACCTAAAT